TTAAGCACGCCCCTGGTTTCTGTGTTTAATTTTGTGAACATATTTATAGCAGCTACTTTGACATCTTTGCTAAGTTTGACATCTGGTTGGCTCTCACAGGCCGTTCTTGTTGCCAGCCCTCCCACTCCCCCCGCCCTCTGTTGTATTTACTGGTTATACTTTTCTGTTTCTTTGCATGCCTTGTAATTTTTTTTGCTGAAAATTGGACATTTTAGATAATGCGATGTAGTAACTCTGGGTACTGGTCCCCTCCCCCTTCTGGGGTTTGTTCTTCTTTGTTGCTAGTTTATTTGTTTAGTGCCTGGCTGGATTATTTTAATAAAGTCTACCCCCCACCCCAGCCTGCAGTATTATGCCTCTGGCGTTCTTCTCAGGGGGGCGGGGGAGGTGCAGAATTGGGCTAGCTTACCGTTACCTCGAATGACTGACAGTGGTTTTGACAGTGCTATGTTTGGTCTTTTCCTGACCATACCCAGATGTTAAGCCCCACTAATTGCTGGCTGACTATTGTTTTCAACAATGTCCTAGGGCATAAATTGCTCCAAAGACTAATCAAATTTGGGTTCCTTTGAAGGGATAGTTCTTGAAGTCAATTATTGAGATTTGTTCTGACCCCACTGCTCCCTTCTTTTCTCAGCAAACTCCCTGGCCTGTAGATCGGTCTATATTTCTAATGAATCTATTGTTCCTTTCCCAATTGCCTGTTGCCACAGCCTCCTCTGTTCTTGAGAGTGCTGGGATTTCTCTACACTCTATTGACAATGAAGTCAGTTACTTTGGGAAGAGATAAGGAGCTATTTATTTTATGGCCTGCTTTCCCTTTCAGGAAAAAATCTCTGAGCCAGGGAGTAGGGTGGGGATAATGATGCCCTTCTCTTTCAGTGACACCCTATATTAGGAGCTAAGTGCTCAGCTAGAAAAGGAAGGCCCAGTTATTCTTGACTTGCCTGTCCTGGCATGGAACGAGAGAAAGGGAATAGTCATTCTGTCATGATATGACCTTTTTGCATGTGGAGCAGCATAGCACCACGGAGAGCGGACTCTGAGGCCACACTGCAGCCTAGAGTTGACCCCTAACTCTGGCACTCACTCACTTGAGTTGGGTAAATGTATTAGTTTTCAATGGTTGCACAACAAATTTCCACAAACTTGGATGCTTAAAATAGCACACATATGTTATCTCGCAGTTTCCATAGTTGGGCATGGCTTAGCTGGATCGCCTGCTCAGGATCTCACAAGGCTGCAATGGAGGTATGAGCTGGATTGCACTTTTATCTGATGCTCAGGGTGTGCGTCCAGACTCAGGTGACTGTTAGCAGCGTTCAGTGCTGAGAGCCTCCATTGTTTGCAAAAGAACTACAGGCTCCCTATTGTTCCTTGCCAATGGATTTCCTAGAATGTCTGCTTACTTTATCAAGCCAGTAAGCAGTCTTTCATATAATGTAATATAGTCATGGGAGTGATATTCCCTCACACTAGCCATATTCTATGAGTTAGAAGCAAGTCACAGTTGGCCCACACTCAAGGGGTAGGGGTTACACAAAGATGGGAAACTCCAGGGGGCAGGGATCACAAGGACGACCTTAGAGTCTGGTGCCAGAGAAGTTACTTAATATCTCTGAACCTCAGCTTATTCATCTAAAAAGATGGGAATAGTAATAGTACGCAGTCTTAAGACTGTGGTGAGAATTAATGTATGCAAAGCTCAGAATAATACCTGACTTGTAGCAACTGTTCAGTAATAGATAGGCACTATTGTTATTATTACTAGATGTCCTCACAATCCAGGAAGCATTAACTCTGGCAACTTTCCAGGATTCATTATTGATGTGCTTATGCTTCTCAGTTGGTTTTAACCAAGTGGCCTGCGGGTGGTCCTTGACTGCTCTCTCAGCCCAGTGAAAATGTGGTTGAAGGAGCGGGGTGTTTATTGACTTACTCATGTCTGTCCATGCATATATGGTGTCTTAGTGTGTTTGGGCTGCTATAATGAAATACCACAGACCGGGTGGCTTATGAACATCAGAAACTTGTTTCTCACAGTTCTTGAGGCTAGCACGGTGGGATGAGGTTCCTCCTCAGGGTTCATAGCTGGTGCCTTCTCTCACTGTGTCCTCACATGGCAGAAGGGGTGAGGGATCGCTCTGTAGCCTTTAATAAGGGCACTAATCCCATTCATGAGGACTCCACCCTCAGGACCCAAGTACCTCCCAACGGCCCACCTCCTAATGCTACCACCTTTCAGGAGTCAGATTTCAACATGTGTGAGTTTGGGGGAAAAACACTCACATTCAGACCATAGCAATGGGGCAATGAGAGAGGAAGAGGAAACTCCCCTCCCGTTTTATTAGAGGGGGCACAAAAGTAGTATATTCCTGCCTTAAAGAGGACATCAGCTCAGCTATAATACTTCATATTTTTACTGACATTCTCAGCTGAACAATCCAAGGCTAGATCATCAACAAAACGGAAAATATGCTAATGGCATTAGCAAAGCCATTAAAAATTTTGATATTTTGATAAAAGAATTAAAATAATAATTGTGCAAAAAACCTGAGCCTTGATGGTCTTCCTTACTCAAATGAATGCATTTCCACACTATTTTTGCTTGAATTACATAGGAAGGTAGAGGTAGGAAACCATACTTATTTCAGTAATTCTGAGTGCTGCCAACGCTGATCTGAATTGAATATAGCTGAAAACCTAGAATTGAAAATGTCTCCGAGTTAGCACTCAGCCTGTTTTTCCTTTATGCACCGTTAGAGTAACCTCCTTGATTTGTATCTTAGATTAAACACAACAAATTGAAGGCAGTGAGAAGCAGAGGTATATCTAGGCGACTTTCTATGACCACAGTCAGATGTGACAGCTGAGAGCCTGAGAGTGGTAGCCAAGCTGGTAGCAATGGCAGAACAGCAGCTTGGGACCATCTATGACAGGACTTAGGTTGCACTACCCACCTCTATAGGACCGTAGAACAGCACAACATCAAAGAAAGGTTACAATTTATTGAGAATACTCAGTTTAATCACAGAAAAATATGCTATACATTGTTCTTTTAATGGTGGAAATAACATTTAAAAGTCATTTATAGATCAGTGCTTTAGATTTTATGGAAAATAAATTTACATATAGTACTTTATCTATTAATAAATTTGGTTTAATATACATTAGTGTAACATATCTCATTGGTGAGGGGGGAGGACCAAAGGATTATTACAGAACAGAGAACAACAAGCGACACTTTAAGTTTCATCTCCAAACTGTGAAGGAAGCCGTCTGGAAAAATGCCTACAGCTGTCTTCCCTTAAACTCCATGCCTTCTGCTCTGCTTCTTAAGATCCCATTCCTCCTCACATCTAATATCAAACTCATCACCAGACCAGCAGTCCTGTCTGTGGCTGGCTTCTGCTCTCAGCAGCCCAGGAAAAACTCTACTGAGGTAAAGTGTTGCCTCTTCGAAAAGGCTCCTTGGGTCCTGAAGACCCGTGAATCCTAAGATCTGGCTTCTTTCCTCTCCTTCTTCATCTCTTGCCCCTTTAAGCCACTCTCCAACTTAGCTAGGACTATGGTCAGAAGCTGCTTCTTCTTCTTGTTTAATTTTTAAATCTTTATTGTTGAAAGTATTACATATGTCCACTATTCCCCACTATTGATCTCTTCTAGCAGGGAGTGGGAGGCGGGTGGAGGGGTGGGGTGGGGGGGCGCGGGCCCTGTCACACCATTCTCTCCCTCTCCCCCAGGCCTTCACCACCCTATTGTCTGTGTCCATGGGTTATGCAAATATACATTCAAGTTCTTTGGTTGATCTGTTCCCACCCACCTTCTGCTTCTTCTTTAAGCTTTATTTTTTAAGCTATTAACAACAGATGAGTTTACAAACTGTTTCTTTTATTCCCATTGGCAATGCCTCTTTTTAATATCTGGCATCTGTCCTGTAGCTGATGGTATGATGAAATTTTGTAGTGACTGAGTCTCTCAGACTCATCTGTGGAAGGAAATAAAATGTCTTTCCATCGGTTTCTGCCTTGGATCTCAATAATAGCACTGTTCTTGAAATTCTTGAAGTATTATTTTGGTATTGGTTTTTCCCAGAGTATCAAAGCATGATGATCTCTCTCTCCCGCTGTCTCTTTACTTAAAAAAATACATATTGGGGCCTGGGGCCTCTTTTCCTTTACTTCTGCATTTGGACAAATTCACAAAGATTGGATATACCTTCTTCAGATGGTCACAGTTTTCCTCTGGCCTTTATTTACACACAGGAACCAAGCTGATTAAATTTTTATTTCTTCCTTTGAAATGTATGCTTCTAATGCATGAGGAGTTTTAACCAAGAAAGGATTTTAAAGCCAGTGGGGTACTGCGTGAGCAAAGAAGTCTGACAGAGAAGGTTCCTTTATTCTTGAAAACTCAAAGCTGGTTATTTGACATTTATAATTTATATCCTGCCTGCTTCCAAAAAGATTCGGAATGGCATTTAATAAAGCAGACAGGTAGGCGGGAGGGAGGGCAAGCCTTCTGCATGGCTGTGTGGGACAGGCAAATTCAGCTGCAGCAATTTATTGGCACCTTTGGCTTACAAAGGCCTACATATTGTTTCTGGCCTGAATACTTGTCCTGGTACTTTAACTTCTAGAAATCCCTTAGAGTGTCCTCCAGCCTGGAAAGGCCACTCAGTAATAGGCTTACAGGATACCTATAAAAGAGCAAGTTCTCCCCTTAGCCCAAAGCTCTCAAATTTGCATTGCTGTATGTGCTTTGTATTCTGTCCCTTTTAGTACATTATTTTATCTCTCTAGTTATAAGAGTTGTACTCCAGCAAGCCTGTTCACACAGAACCAAACTATTACAAATACTAGTAAGTGGGCTCATCCTCATGCACACTAGGGAACGATAGGGCAGTGTTAGTATTTGTTGGTATGTCATGTTATTCTATCACGTGACAATATTATCACCGTGATGATAATTAATCCCCCTGGTGAGAATCAGTAATTCTACTAGTACCTGCTGCAGAAGATCATCTTTTTGAATGCTTCCCTGAGCTCTGGGCTTCGGAAGGCATATATAAAGGGGTCAATGACTGCATTGCACATGATCAACATGCCATTCACCTGGAAGAGGGACATGTAGCAGACACAGTAAGGGTTATTTGGGCAGAATGTCATTAAGAGGACATGAAGAACAAAGGGGGCCCAACAAAAGATGAAGACCCCAAGCAGGATGGTCAGTGTGATGGCCCCTTTCATGTTGGCTCTGGAAAGTGTTGAGATCTTCCTGGCATGGGAACGGGCCAGCAAGAACATGTGCACATAGAGGCAGAGGATAAAGACCAGCATCAGAGGGAACAATGATGTAAAGGTGATCACTGTGGGGATGCGATGGGAGAAGATCGCCATGGTGATGCCACTGCATGTGCAGCATGTCCAGATGACCGCCAGGACAGCAACGGCGCGGCGCATGGTCACAATGCTGTGGTACTGCAGGGCATGGAAGATGGTGATGTAGCGGTCCGCGGCGATCACAGACAGGCTGAAAATGGAGCCCAGGAGGGAGAGGATGAACAGGGAGTCGATGATGTCATCGGCCGTGGTTTCAAAATTGCCACGAGGCTTGAGATAACCCTTGTTTCTGAGCATGATCAGGATATTTTCCAAGATCTTATACAAGCTGCCCAACATGTCGGAAATGGCCAGGCTGCAAATGAAAAAGTACATGGGTGCCTGGAGGTTCTTATTCTTGATCACAGCCAGCAGGACGATCAGATTCTCCAGCACCCCGGCGATGGATATTGTAAAAAATATCTCTTCCGGCAAAACCACATGAGGACAGTCTGAATTATTTCTTGCTGTATCGTTGATGTTCTCATATAGGTTGATTATGTGCTTCATTTCTCCTGCTTGTGGTTAAGACAATGATGTTACTTGGACTTGACAGAAGGCTGGACTGATTTTTCAGAATCTTTTTTTTGAGGGGGGGGGGTAGTACTTGTGGGAGATCTGAGGTAAAAACTACACGGTCACCTAGGAAAGAATATATACAAATATCAGTTGCAAAATAAACTGCAAAATAAAAACATGCCATGTTAACTTGAAGGAAGCTCTGTTGCCTCGATGAAATATAATGGTGTAATATTTTAAATAACACAGTTTACTGGGCCTTCATCCTCAGCACTCAGTGACAAATCTTTACTGGAATTTTGAGCCCAGAAATAAAAATAAAGATTATCCTTTGTCCTCTCCTCTTTCCCTTCCCCATTCTTCTTGTGAACCCAATTTGATGTGAGATAAATGCGAATGAGAAAAGAAGTAAGGAAATGAAAGGCATGTGTAGAAACAGAAAAGCACACAACTGCCTTTCTTTGACTTGGAGGAGTGGCTGGATTCAGGGGACTGAGGAGATGTTCGGGTCCTTTCTTTTTCACTGCCTGACCTTAGAGCATATAGAATAATGGCAAACGTATTGATGTACATTTCCAAAGTTGACTATGCAATGTAATACACATTATTATTTTTGTTTCAAAGGCTGAACTCGCAGGAATGGTATTTCTGGAGCTTTCCAACGTTTTCAAGTTTTTTCTAGGTTGAAGTTGAATTATGGCAGTGAAAGGATCCAGTTTTTCTCAAGCAGAAAAGGCTGACTAGATCATAGTTGAGTGACTTTGAGAAGTCTGCTTCAGGTGAAAGCATGCGAAATTTTTACTGATTCAGTTTCCAGGTGGCTAGACACAGATTTTTTTTTTTTAAATTTCAGAGAGGAAGGGAGAGGGAGAGAGAGAGAGAGAAGCATCAGTGATGAGAGAGAATCATTGATTGGCTGCCTCCTGCACATTCCCTACTGAGAAGTGAGCCTGCAACCTGGGCATGTGCCCTTGACTGGAATCGAACCCAGGACCCTTCAGTCCCCAGGCCGATACTCTATCCACTAAGCCAAACCAGCTAGGGCGACACAGATGATTTTATGAAATGTTTCAAATTTTCCTTTGCCATTGTGGTGGTTTTAAGGATATGACCACAAGTTCTTTATACTCCTCCCCACAAGAAATGGAGCTTAATCCCCCTCCATTCAGGCTTGCTGGAAGCCAGCTGCCATGTTGTAAAGCAGCTGTTGGGAGAGTGAATCAAGTGTAGCTTTTGATCCAAAGTCCACAGGGCACATATCACTGTCTTACACTAAAGTTTTTCCTGAAAAGGAAGTAATTTCCTTACAAAGGACTGGGGTCAAGTATTAAGGCAGAAATGTTTGAGTTCGGTAGGTAGATGATTAGGAAAGGAGTGGAGTGGCAGGTGGTAGCTGCTGGTAGGGTTCTACCTAGGTTGACCACTTTATCCTGTGTTCCCAGGACTGGGAGTCCTGCATCCTGGGCACTGTCTCAGTCCCAGGCAACCTGCCATGGTTAGTTACTCTAGCTCTATCTACTTGGGCCCTGGGAAGCCTATACGCTAAGCATCCACTCATGTTCAACATGCTGAGGAGAATGAGGCCTTTGATGGTTAACTTTATGTGTCAATTTGGGCCTCACGGTGCCTGATATTTGGTCAAACATTATTCTGGGTGTTTATGGATGAGATTAACATTTGAATCCGTAGTCTGAGTAAAGCAGATTGCTCTCCCCAGTGGAGGCAGGCCTCATCCAATGTGTTGAACAAGAAGGCTCCATGAAAAAGGAGACATATGTAAAACTACATGTAATACTTTAAACAATAAAAAAAAAGGCTCCATGAGTAAGGAAGAACTCCTGTCTGATTGCTGAGCAGGGGCATTAGTTTTTTCCTGCCTCTAGGATTCAAATGGAAATCTCAGCTCTTTTTGGGGGGTCTGCTGGCTTCCTGACAGGGACCCCCATTGGCTCTCCTGAGTCTCCAGCTTGCAGACTGCAAATCTTGGGACTTCTCAGCCTCCATAATCTCGTGAGCCAACTCCTTATAATAGACGCTGTTTCCCAAGGCCTGTGCCCAGCATGAACCACCTATGGAGACTGTCTGGACAGAGTCTCTCGTCTTATACTTGAGCCCATTAAATGTGGTCAGATTTGGTGTATATTTTCAGTCTTGAGTGCATTTGATGGTAGAATTGATAAAGAAAAAGGAAATGCTGGCAGAGCTTTGGGCACTTCTTAGGAAGAGGTGGTTCTGAAACCCAGCTCTGCTGATGTGTGTTGCTGAGCTGCTGTTGCCAATCCTGCAAATCCATGGGAGAGTCCTAAATTTGACTAGACAATGGTTACGTGTGTTGGAAATGAAAACGATAAGAAATACCATACTGCCCACAACAATCTAGCTGAGGAGCCCTGGCCAGGTGGCTCAGTTGGTTGGAGCATTGTTCTGTGCACCAAAAGGTTGTGGGTTCAATTCCCTATGAGGGTACATCTCTAGGTTTTGGGTTCAATCCCCAGTTGAGGGCGTGTCCAGGAGGCAGCTGATCGATATTTCTCTCTCACCCCCCTCTCACTTCCCCTTTCTCTTTCTCTTCCCCTCTCTCTAAAAAATAAAACATATCCTCAGATGAGAATGAAAAAAATCTAGCTGAGGAGATAAAACATGCACATCTGAGAAAAAGAACAGACAAGGTTATGGTGACTTGCTAATGAGTCATGGCTGCTACATGGTGTACGTGATGTGGAAGAGGATTGGCTTGCCTACAAGCACTGTAGGTAATTCACTGTCCACTGTGCAGGGCCCCAAATGTATGCTTAGCAATTTAAATTAACACTCTCACAGATAAAAAACCCAACTCCCCAATACATCATTACGTTCTTAAAACTCTTCATTTTAAAGGCAGTTGGGTATCACTGTGGCTTCTCTCATAGTGCTCTCTATGTCAAAGGTCAGAGAAGGGGCACGGTGAAAGGTGTTCTCTTTTAATGCTCTAATTAAATGTAAGGGGTACTATTCCTATTCCTATTCCTAGGTAAGAAAACTGAGGCTCAGAGGGGTTAAGTAACAAGGTTCTCCAGCTGCTAGGTCTGCCTTGCTCCAAGGCCCACGTTCTCCCCTGGGTTCCCTGTTAGGCATAATTCCTTCTTTGAATTCTGTCTAGCATCCGTTATAAGGGGCCTTGAAGTGACCCTGAATTTCAGGGATGAGGCAGCCCCATTCTTTTCCTTCTTGTCCCGGTGGTATGATTGACAAGTAGTGTCCCTTCCCCACTTTCTTCACCACCTTTTCACGGTCAGCACAGACATGCCTTTCTCTGTGCAGATGTTCCTCAACTGCCTCCCTCGCCCACAGGAGCATGAGGGAGCTTCCCACCGTGCTCCGCTACACTATGTGTCTGTATTTCTCTGATGGCACTGCTCACATTAAACACGTGGTCTTCCCTGGTAAGTGGATTCTGAGTTTTAGGATGAGCATTGTCCTCGCCACCTCAGTATGCTCAGGGACTTGCAGAGAAGCTGGGCATGGCAATATGTGTACAGTCAACGGCAGATGAATGCTGCTTACACCAAACAAAAAGATCCTAGTAAAAGTTAGTTAGCCACTGAGTTTTTAGATGAGACGCGTACCTGGAAAAATTAACAAGGTTAATAATAAAATGGCTTAGACATTTCTCACACTGATCTGCCTGAAGTTGCTCCAGAGCAGTGAGAGCTCCGTTGCTGTGGGAGCAGAACTCTTCCTCTGCCACGAGAGATGCAGGAAGCACTGAAAGTGAAGACTGCTCTTCAGCTGTCTGCTCCACCCCCTGGTACTCACAGAGGTTCACGGCAGGCAGGCACTCTGGCCAGGCTTGCAGCAAGGCCTGGCACCAAGGCCCAGTGGATATTTTTTATAAATACACTAGAGGCCCGGTGCACAAGATTCGTGCACTGGGGTGGGGGTTCCCTCAGTCCAACCTGCATCCTCTCACAGTCCAGGACCTCTCGGGGGATATCCACCTGCACCTCTGGCAGTCTGGGGCTCTCACAGTCCGGGACCCCTCGCTCCTTACCGCCCACCTGCAGCAGAGGTGGGAGAGGCTCCCGCCACCACTGCTGCACTCGCCAACCGTGAGCCCAGCTTCTGGCTGAGTGGCGCTCTCCCTGTGGGAGCACACTGACCACCAGGGGGCAGCTCCTGCATTGAGCGTCTGCCCCCTGGTGCCAGTGCACGTCATAGTGTCCGGTTGTTCTGCCATTCAGTCGATTTGCATATTAGGCTTTTATTCTATAGGATGAATGAGGGAGCACAGCTTGTCAGCATCCCTCCTGCACTTCTGCGTAGGATGCACTGAAGGGAGCTCTCCTCTTCCTAATCTTTCTCAACGCCTTACTCTCAGTATCCCCCTCTATCCCTTGCCCATTTCTATCCCTTTAGGGTTTTGCATATGTGTATATATGTGTGTACATGTATATGCATGTGTGTGCATGTATACATGTGTGTGTTTGGGAAGAAGATGGGCGGTAGAATTATCTCAAGGCAGCCCAAGGAAATACAAATATAGCAAATAGCTGTTTTCATAGAAAGAGTGGGGCTTCTGTTCTAGAGTGCATGCCCCCATGACAGAGCCAACCAAGGAGAGTCAGTGTCTCAAGTCTGCAGTGGCTGCGTGGCTTTCTAAGTGATGACCACTTTGGAGGAGTTTGTGATAAGGAATGTGTCTTATGCTTAGTTATACTACACCCTGTGTTGCTTCCAAGGAAGTCAGAGGACTACAGGGCTAACGGACGAGAAAGGCAGAGGGAGAGTGTGTTGCCCCAGAACCACAAATAATCCATGTGCGTATGTTAACGGGAGAGTTGCAGGAAGCCAACTGCATACCAGGTTTCCTAATTGCCAGGGCAGCAAAACTATGGCGCTTGTAAAAACAAATGGTATTCAGGTAAAGGGGTGATTCTCATGAAGGGGTAAAAGAAGCATGATTTTTTTTCACCCTTATTTCCATTGAGAAAAGCCCGGCCATAGCCCTTGTA